TATTCCATTACTCAAAAAGTAGTCGAAACGATAAAACTGCATCACAATTCCCTTTCTGAAAATACAGTTCCCTAACCCAAATCTCTATCCACTATCTTCGTGATCTGGTGTGTATTTAGTTTGATCTCCCCTTTTTATCTAATCTAATATCTAGTGTAGGCGGCCAGTTGAATACGCCGGTTTCAACAGCTCGAGTGATGACATCAGCCAGGTAGAATCATGTGGAAGAACTGCCTTTTTTAGTGCTTTCAGTAGAGCGCCGAGTATTTGTACTCTCAAACAAATATTCAATTCCACAGCAACTGCTCGCACCGTCCTTTTGCCAATTGAGTGTTGCTATGTAACACATGGCGTTGCTGTACTAAACGACGAAGAATTGAATAAACAACTTGGTACAGTTGGCTTATTTCAGTTTCCATCACTGCTTCTGCTTTCGGGTCGCGGCAGAGACAGTCGTGTCAGACATTAATTCCAACATTCTCCAGATCTCTACCAGAGTCAGAGTTTCGACAGAAGATAACCGGAGTTTAAAGCAGAGTCCTTCCATGTATTTGCACCAGATTAATCCTGGCCGTCCCCTATGCCTTCAGTGGACCGGTTGGACAACAAGATGTTGCTTCGCCTTCCTTTCTGGAGGCATTCTTAGCACATGCCCAAACCATCGCAGCTGTGACTTCTCAGTCTGAAGAAGCAGCGGGTTGTACTCCAACGCTCTCACGGATTTCTCTACTACGGACCACGTCGAGACGCGCGAGACCAGTGACTGGTCTCAGAAGGACCATTCCAGCCGCTCGTACCTGGGATCGAAGATTAGTCATGGCACACGACTGAAGGTAAGCATGGGGATAGAGATCAACTTGAACACCGAGAGCTTAGTTTTCAGACTCAGCTCTGCTTTAGTCACAGTGGGTCAGGCTAGTTCACGCAGAACGCTACTGGCTACTCCAAATCGCCGGTTCATCTCTTCCTTAAATTTTCCATCACTGGTAAATACGACTCTGAGTTATTTGAATTTCTCCACCTGCTACACTGCCTCTCCGTTAACATGAAGAGAGCAACGGACACGAGAACGAGAAAGCACTATGCTTTTCGTTTTAGATGCGTTCACAGGCATGTCGATCATGTCGCACTCGGCTGCGAACCTTTCTAGGAAGTCTGAGCAAGATCATTTTCAGAAGAGGCTAATGAAATAAGGTCGTCTGCAAACAGCAACATTCTCGTTTTCACATCCCCTGCACCGATACACTCATCGCTTTGGCCGCTCATAACTATTCTATCCAGGTACAAGACAAATAGGAGAGGGGACAGAACGCATCCTTCGTAGAGACCTGTGCAAACGCTTAAAGATTTCGACTTAACGCCATTTACTCTGACGCAGTGCTTGCTATCAGCATATGGCAAATAATTGGCTGATAGCAACTGCCATTGATCCCATATGTCCACAAGCACCCGCATAGAAGTTTGCTGGGAATCGGATCATTGGGTTTTTTTATCTCCATCAAGTATATACAAGCCGAGTGAACGAACTCTCACGATTTCTCAGCATCTAGTGTAGGGCAAATATCAGTTCAGATATTCTTCAGCCGGAACGGATATCATGCAGCTCTTCTTGTATCTTGAATCAGTTATTTCACGGCACCTTTTTTATAGCACATTTGAATGTGTATTTCTCGGGATGCTAAAAAGGTAATGTCTCGATAACTCGCGCACACCCTGTGGTGTGCCTTCTTGATTAGGGGTACTGCAACACCGTTTCTCCAGCCGCTGGTGTCTTCCCCGTAGACGTTACTGTTTGACCGACACATGTAAGCCAGCACATGCCTTGTTCACCTATTGATTTGAGCATTTCAGGGCGGATTTCATCAATTCCAGCAACCTTTCCACTTTTCAAGCTATTCATAGGTTGTGTGGTTTCATCCACACAGGTACTAATATCCATTCCCTGCTGCTCTTCAGACGCTTGTTTCTACGGTTGCTCGCGGTTGAGTTCCGCAGTGTATTCTCTCCATCACTGAAGAATGCCTTCATCCTCAGTAAGAGAGTGCCCAGTCCCGTCCTTCAAGAATCCTTGACTGCCTTTCTTTTCACCTGAGAGCCAGTGGAAGGTCTGCCAGAATATCTTGTTTGACGTCTGGAAATTCGACTGCAGCACCTGACCGAACTTCTCCTAGGAATCAGGCTTAGCTTTCGCCACTGCTTTCGCTGCAATCTTGCGCGCTTCTTCATTCCTCATGCGGATTGAGGCTCTTTGCTTCCAAGCCATTTCATGACTTGGCCATTCGGTGACAGCCAGCTGTACTTCTCGCGTCTATCACGAAGTGTCTGACCTCCAGACAGCAGGCTATTCCGTTGGAAACCGCAGCATTTGTGGGCAGCCCGGAGTGGACACTCTTAAAGTGCTTTGTTTGGTTTCTACATCAGCAGCTATCACCGGAATGTGATGAAACGATCGTTCGATGTTGTTTGGAAGTTTTGCCGTCATATCCGTGAAGATAAAGTTTCTCATTTATTCTCTGGTTGCTTCTGCTGCCGGATCTTTACAGGGTACTCCATTTCTCACAGCATACCGTAGCAACAGCACGGTGATTTGACAGCTCTGCGTCCCTCTCAACGCGAACATCCATTACTGAGCATCTTAACTCAGATGATATGATTATTAAATCAATCATCGACATTTGATACAAGCTTCCCTGTGACAGGTATACTGATGCATGCATCGATATTCAAAGAAGAGGTTCATACCAGATAGTCAGTTGTTTGCACAAAACCGCAATAACTTTATGCGGTTATTCTTGAGGTCGATAGGACCATTTCTTTCAATCACGCTTTTCACTTTTCAGTGTTTTCTCTGACATGCGCATTAAAATCGCCCATTAGAATGAGGAAATTCTTAGTCGACGCTTCTTAGTAGAGAGCGCATTCCACTTCCTCAAGGAAGGACTAATATTTTCCCTCCAAATTTTTCGCACAGATCTTTATAAGGGTCAAAGCATTAGCCTGTTGTAGCTTTTGTCACAGTATTGCCGCTCTTCCACTGACAGGCTTCCATTCTGTGATTCGGTTCTGTCAGCACACCAACACCGACCTGAGGGTGCCTCCTTGTCGACACCTGGGTAGAATGGCTTTTAGCCAGAGTCGTTCAGAATTCCTGAGCGTTGGCGTTTTGTTGATGAGAGTCCAACTGTCTGTTGGTACCTTGCGGCCTCATCATCTGGCTCCTGCATTTTTCGTCTGAGTGGTGAGATATTCCTATTTCCGACTGTATGCTCAGTTTGTCGATGTAGTTCCCGTGGAGCATTTTCTGACGTTCTCTAATGGCTTCAAGTTATCTGCCTTCTCCTTTCAGAACGGATAGCGACTCTGTTGCTCAATTTTATCTTCTTCGTCGTTTCGTTGATATTCGCCACTAATCGCTGTAACATTCGATAGCCGCGATGCCATAGGGGTAGGTTGCTAAGTTATGTGGAGACATCGCCATGGCTTCAAACCTTGCTGCTTTTTATCCGGGCTTGGAGCCTGCGACGTCGTGGTTGTGCAACTGGCTTAGATTCGTAAATGAGCAGCTGGGTTAGGCACACGTTAGTGCACAAGTGGCTAAATTATGTGTTATCTCGATTACTGCTCATACACTGGTATTTTCAATAGCGTACTAATAATTGTGAAAGGATTAGTTTGTGTTTAACAGAATGGTTGAGCATAGACCCTTCACTCCGTTCCGGGATCTTTTAATGTTTGAATGGAACTCCTTTGATGCTTTTCTAATAAACCGTCAGGCAACATGGATAAGCCGGTAAAGTATGTCTGCGTTCATAAATGAGTTATTTCTTCTGTAGTGCTGTAACCGGTGCCTTTATTCCAGGGGTGTTCGATTAGTCAAATAAGCAGCGAAACGTCACAAACTAGAGGAATTACGTTAAATCTCAAGGTTCTGGTGTTGATCGTATAGAGCATGACAGAAAAAAATTCATTTTCGGGGTTTTCAGCAATGACTGAAATGATAAGACTACCCCGAATAT